AGGGGGGTGGGTGTTCTTTTGTCTCAAATGCATGAGTGGTGTGGAAAGGGCCCACCTTGTATTTGTTTGATTCTTTTCCCATCAACTCCCACTCTCTCCATACTCCTCCAGCCGACCAACCCCTTTAATTGAGTGTCCAAATTCGTGGGTTGGCCCCCACCCATGTGGGAGGTCAACCCTTTTTGTCCAGAAGTGTACAATTTGTCCCGAAAGTTGTATTTTTCGGACTGTTTTAACTGTATTTTATTTTATCGGGTCAAATAAAATATATTATGTGATTTCCATCATTATGACTCTTATGATGAATATTCATACCCCAACTTTAATTTATAAGTCCCCGAAATTCAATTTCGGGCTTTTATCGGTTAAATTACTAGTACCGGTATTTTGGCCTTTTTTGATCAACCGGTCAACTCTATATCATCTCTTTGGACCAATGAGTTATACACCACCATATAAATATTATATTGACCAAGATGAATAAAATGTACGGACTCGGGAATATCGGGCGGCCTCCGCTCCCGGTGTGGGCCCCACGTGCGAATTTACCATTCACGCAAAATAATTAATGAAAATTCACAACTTCGTATACTCGTTAACCACTCCATAAGTTCAATACATTATTCACTTAAAAGTAAGTACTTTTTGGGGACGGTGTTACAGTCCAACTGTCTACCCAAACAAGTAAACAGCATCCAAAAATAGTGAGAACAGCTAGCTAGAAACTTTAAAAAACTAGATGGAGGCATAGCTGAAAAACACAGTAGTATAATACATCAATACTAATTACTAAAAAATCGAAAATTTATTGTTAATTTCTTATAATTCAAATATCACAATTCACGGAATCACAAAACCATATTAATTAGCTTTAATCACTTGATGCTTGAGAGTTGTGGTATTGAGCCTATCAACCACTACCCATACTGCATCATAGTTGTTCACTGTTCGTGGTAGCCCCACCACGAAGTCCATGGTCACATGCTCCCACTTCCATTCTGGAATGGTTAGTGGCTGCAAAAGCCCCGCCGGGTGCTGATGCTCTGCCTTAACTTGTTGGCAAGTAAGGCATCGACTCACGTACTCTGCGATATCCCTCTTCATACCCGACCACCAGTAACTTTCCTTCAAATCTCGGTACATTTTAGTACCTCCTGGATGCATAGCATATGCCGAAGAGTGAGCCTCCTCCAGGATAGACTTTTGGAGCTCTTCACTCTTTGGTATGCACACACGGTCTTTAAACAATAAAAGACCGTCATCACGTACCCGAAAGTTCTCCACGGGCCCTTCAAGGATCCTCTCGCGGATCTTCTGGCATTCCTCATCAGTGGCCTGACATCTACTGATCTCACTCAGCAATGTGGGCCTAACCTCGAATCTAGCAATGAGGACCCCACTCGTGGGCATCTCCACTTGTGCCCTCAAAGTTCGTAGACATGTGAGTAATGTCCCCGACGTACTTTTCCTGTTCAGTGCATCGGCCACTACATTTGCTTTTCCGGGATGATAGTCGATGATCAAGTCATAATCCTTGATCAACTCCATCCATCTCCTTTGTCTCATATTCAACTCCTTCTGAGTGAATACGTACTTCAAGCTCTTATGATCGGTAAAAATGTGACATGTCTCCCCATAGAGGTAATGCCTCCAAATCTTTAGTGCAAACACTACCGCCCCCAACTCTAGATCGTGGGTAGGGTAGTTCGCCTCATGTTTCTTCAATTGCCTAGAAGCATAGGCAATCACCCGACCGTTTTGCATCAGTACACATCCAAGCCCTTGGATGCTAGCATCACTGTAGATATCATACCCTATCCCCTGTATAGGTAGGGCTAGTACTGGTGCTTCGGTAAGTCGTTTCTTCAGTTCAAGGAACCCTTTCTCACACTTGTCGTCCCATATGAACTTGGCCCCTTTCTTTGTGAGCTTCGTTAATGGAGACGCCAATACGGAGAATTTTTCCACAAATTTACGATAGTATCCCGCTAAGCCAAGGAAACTACGTATCTCTTTCACATTCTTGGGTCTCTCCCAATCCATAATAGCTTTAATCTTGGCGTTGTCCACGGCAACGCCCGAACCGGATATGACATGACCGAGGAAACCAATCTCTTTGAGCCAAAATTCGCATTTTGAGAACTTGGCAAAGAGTTGCTTTTCCCTTAACCGATCAAGTACAAGCCTCAAATGGTGTTCGTGCTCCTCCTCGCTCTTGGAGTATATCAAGATGTCGTCAATGAATACTATCACGAATTGATCTAAGTATTCACTAAACACACGGTTCATCAAGTCCATGAATGCCGCCGGTGCGTTGGTTAAACCAAACGACATCACAAGGAATTCGTAATGACCATATCTAGTGCGAAATGCACTCTTAGGTATGTCACTCTCCTTGATCTTCAACTGATGATACCCCGACCTCAAGTCAATCTTCGAGAACACTATTGCCCCTCGAAGTTGGTCGAACAAGTCATCAATCCTCGGTAAGGGATACCTGTTCTTGATGGTGACCTTGTTCAACTGTCGGTAGTCAATACACATTCTTAGTGTACCATCTTTCTTCTTTACGAATAGTACGGGTGCTCCCCACGGTGAATGACTGGGTCTGATGAACCCGTTGTCCAATAGTTCTTGTAGTTGGACCTTCAACTCTTGAAGTTCGGCCGGTGCCATTCGATAAGGAGGAATCGAAATGGGTTTGGTTCCCGGCTCCACTTCGATTACAAATTCAATCTCTCTATCGGGTGGAAGCCCCGGTAGGTCCTTGGGAAAGACGTCCGGGTACTTGCACACGACTCGAACATCCTTGATGTCGACTTCTTTCTTCGTATCATCTACCACGTAAGCAAGGTATGCGTGGTACCCTTTTCTCATCATCTTCCGCGCTCTCATCACGGATATGATGCAAACATTTGATTTCCCCCGATCTCCTTCGAAACATAGCGTGTTTCCTTGCTCATCCTCGAGCTCCAACACCTTGGTGTAGCAATCTACTCGAGCATGGTGCTTCTCAAGCCAATCCATTCCTAGGATTGCATCGAACTCCAACATGCTTAGAGGTACGAAATCACAAGTCAAGGGTTGACCCGTCACTTCCACCTCACATGATGGATAGTAATGATTTCTCTCCACATCGTCCCCTAACGGTGTGGAGACTAGCAACGTTTGCGTCATAGGTGTCAACGGCACGTCAAGTCCCTCGGCGAACGCCTCACTCACAAATGAGCGTTGTGCCCCGGTATCGATGAGGATCCTCGCACACCTACCATTGATCTTTAATGTTCCTACATTTATACACCATGTAAGATACATTTTCTAACGTTTTTACACATCTTTAGGAGGTTATTAAGTCAATACTAAGGTTTGGAATCAAACGGGGGTCCAAACGTAGAAGAACGGGGTGAAAAAATCAATTTTCGGGGGTTGGGGGTCCACGCACGGCGTGCCTGGGTGGCACGCACGACCGTGCGTGCAACGAACTAACTCTGCGTGCCACTGCCGGCCAGGCACGATGCCAGGCACGGCGTGCCTACGGCCGTGCCTGGCCAAAAATACTTCGGACGCTACTGCCTTCCAGGCACGACGCCAGGCACGGCGTGCCTGCGGCCGTGCCTGGCCCAAAATTTTTTTTTTTTTTTCCTTTTCTTCGGGTGCCACTGCCTTCCAGACACGGTGCCAGGCACGGCGTGCCTGCGACCGTGCCTGGCCAAAAAATCTTCCGGTTGCCACTGCCTTCCAGGCACGATGCCAGGCACGGCGTGCCTGCGAGCGTGCCTGGCCGGCAGTGGCTGTTTCCAGCTGATTTGGCCTAACTTGCCCGGTTTTGACCCCGGGGTGGCCCGCACTCAATCCCTACGACGTATATGATCAATGCAAGCCTAGAAATACATGGGAATACGTGTATTACCTGCAACGGAGTCGGGATTGGCCCGAGCATCGGCCTCGGTCATTGCGTAGACTCTAGCTTGCGTCCTTCCTTGATTCACGGACGGCGCGTTGCTGGCGCTCGCTCCCCCCTGCCCCGTACTAGCATGGGGTGCTCCGGTCCGACTTCTACTTGCCGTAGTAGCGCCGCTTGATCCCGCCCCTCGGTTTCCACCAAGTTGAGGGCAATTTGGTTTAAGATGCCCCGTGTCTCCACATTGGTAGCACCGAGGAGGGTCACGACACTTACCGGCGTGGCTCCTGTTGCAATTTCGGCACCTGGGCGCTGTCGAGGCTTGTGAGCCCGAGTTGTGCCCGCCGAAAGCCGAGTTTCCCTTGGATGGCGGCGCCGGTGCCCTGAACGATCCTCCTCCCCCGTGGTTCCCCTTTTTGTTAGAACCTTGTGGGCCATGGCTTTCCCACTTCCTCTTCTTCGCCTCATCGGCGTTCCTCCGCTTTCTTTCCTCCCACTCCTTCTCTCCCTTCAGGCCTTGTTCAACCACTTGACTAAACGTCATATTAGGCAATTGTGTTGCCCTCTCGCGTATGTCAAGGTCTAAGGCATCCCAGAAGTGGTTCACCATCCGGTTCTCATCACATATGTACTCCGGTATGAATTCGGCAAGCTTTCTGAACTTGTGCTCAAGTTCCTTCACCGTACATGCGCCTCCCTGTGTCAAGTTCGTATACTCCCTCCTCTTCATGTTTACCTCGAAGTCGGAGTAGTATTGGTTGAAGAACTCCTGCCGAAAGTTCTCCCATGTGACGGCTTCGCCGTATTTCCCTTTGACCCCGTCCCACCACGTGGACGCCATGCCTTCGAGCAATCTTGTTGCCACTCTCAGTTTCATGATGGGTGGCAGCTGCATGTCAAGGGCCGCCTCGTTGAATCTTTTGATCCATTCGGCCGCAACGGAGATGTCTCCCGTTCCATCAAACGGTTTACACCCCAAATCTCGTGCTTCTTTGATAAATTTGGAGATCCTTATGGTTGGACCTCCCACATTTTGGCCTCCATGTGGTTCAACATGGACTCTAGAAGCACCTTGGCTTCCTCCTCTCGAAGCCATGCCCGAAGGTTGCCCCGTTCGGCGCCTTCGGCGTTGTCTCCTCTCTTCGCGCTCCCAGTGGTATTGTTGGAGCAGCGCCTCGATCCTCCCAAGAGTGCCATCGTCTTCACTCTCTTCACTTACATCGTCATCTTCCCCATCATATGGGGTCTCCACCGGCTCGGTTTCCGGCCTATAGGTTGAGTCCTCATAGGACCAATAAGTCTCACTCTCAGTGTCCACGTGGCCATCGCTCACGGTTTGTTGTTGGCCTCCACGGCCCCTTCCCCTGGACACCCTAGTGGACCCCCGACTGCCGCGTTCGGACCCACCCGGTACACGGCCCATCGGGTTCCTCCTCGTGATCCTTCCAATTGGCTCCATTTCTGAAAGAAGTTTAGAATGAGCCGTTAGACTCGTATCAAATGTCAAGTGACGGATAGGTACTTAGGGACATCTTTTGGCTCAAATCACCGCCATGCCAATTGTTAAGGGTACCATCTTAACAATTAGAGACTTTGCAACTCAAGTATCAAAAGTTCTATAAGTACAAAACTTTATGCTCATGGTTTTCAAATTTTTTTTTTTCAAAAGGAATTTTGAAGCTTCATTATGAAGTTTACGGACTAAGGCTCTGATACCAATTAAATTGTCACGCCCCGGACCTACCGGACACGTCAACAACCCGCCGTACAGTACGAATAGTCAACCGCAGTCCAACTCATCCATACTATACTAGGCGTCTTGAATACCATTCACACATAGTACATCCATAAACAACATAATGTAAAATAATCATTTAAAGCAGCGGAAATATTCAATACAAAGTGCACGCCACACTTTGGCAACATGGGCATACAAGCCCTAAATACATATTAAAGAAAAATAATATCCATGAGCATGGTTTAAATCGTTTTCAAAACAGAAACAGAAGAAGCACGAACCACGTCTTCTTCTCTTGAATTCTCCGATACAACGGGCGGTAGCGGCAAGCTTTAATCCCGACCTGAAACTGTGAGGTGGCCTCCCCCGTGAAGGGGAGGTCAGTACTTGGAAGCATTTGACAAGTACAATGACAACTATACTAAGTATAATCAAAGTTTCAATTTCCAAGACCCTCAACTTAGGATGTTACTATTTGAAATTAATTTATGTTCTTTCATGCTAGAGCTCGGCTCATAGTCATGTTAATTTGTGCTAGAGCTCGGCTCATAGTCACACCACATTTCGCTAGAGCTCGGCTCATAGTCATTCCTACATTTTTGTGCTAGAGCTCGGCTCATAGTCACACTACATTTTGCTAGAGCTCGGCTCATAGTCATTCCTACATTTTTGCTAGAGCTCGGCTCATAGTCATACTACCACGTGCTAGAGCTCGGCTCGTAGTCACGTCATCTAATCCCTAAACCACTTCTTAGTCTAGGCTCCATTCCTTTTGAGTAACCCTTGAGGTCTACTCCTAACATAACTTGACTTCGTAAAGTCCACCCTAATTATCCTTTAAGGTTACTTAGCTTCAATATTTTGGGATTAGCTCCCAAGCACTATTGAACTAACATCCCCGACTAGTCTTCAATACTAGTCGTCTAATCTTAATAAGCCAACGCCAATTTCATAATAATTCATACATTTCAATTTAATTTCACCTTCAAGTATAACTTGATTCAATATCAAAATATCACTTTTATTCCCTTCATGAGGTAAAAGCATATTTATCACCATACAATTTTATAGCCTACACCACAATTGGGTCATTATAATCACAACACATAATCATACACAATTTATTCTTAAATTTGTATATTATGCATTTTCTTTATGAACAATACTATATTCCATTTTAGGCATTCTTAATCATAAATAACTCATGCCAAACACATATAATTCATTTAGGCAATCTTATGAAATTAACCCAATAATTATAAACAATATAGTCGGTCATCCTCACCTTAAGTGAGCTTAAGCGCGTTCTACACTTCCCGGTTGAACTTTGGCGAACTTTGACCAACTCCGGCCAACTTTGACCAACTCCGGCGAAACTCCGGCGAAGCTCAAAGATACTCTAAATCAAGTTCCTAACAAGGTTTTAACATCATAAAACCTTAATCAATACACATAACCTCTAAAAGGTTATTTTCCGGTGAACTTGTCGGTTTGGCTTCTAAATCCATTTTTGGACATAGAACCACCTTCCAACCCCTTGTTCCACATTTATCAACATGTAGAACAATCCTAGGGTTCTTCATAATTTCTCAAATAATAATGTATTCAAGAAAAAGAGAAGAGAAAGGTAAGTGAAGCCATTACCTAGCCTTTCCTCAAGTTTTGTACACTTTTGGAGCTTATACTTTTTCCTAGAGCTTCCTTCTTGGTGGAGCTTCCTTCAACAATGGTGAGATGTTTGAGAGCTTCCTTGCTCTTGGTGGAGGGATGCTGGCCGAAAATGATTGAGGAGAAGGGGGGTGGGTGTTCTTTTGTCTCAAATGCATGAGTGGTGTGGAAAGGGCCCACCTTGTATTTGTTTGATTCTTTTCCCATCAACTCCCACTCTCTCCATACTCCTCCAGCCGACCAACCCCTTTAATTGAGTGTCCAAATTCGTGGGTTGGCCCCCACCCATGTGGGAGGTCAACCCTTTTTGTCCAGAAGTGTACAATTTGTCCCGAAAGTTGTATTTTTCGGACTGTTTTAACTGTATTTTATTTTATCGGGTCAAATAAAATATATTATGTGATTTCCATCATTATGACTCTTATGATGAATATTCATACCCCAACTTTAATTTATAAGTCCCCGAAATTCAATTTCGGGCTTTTATCGGTTAAATTACTAGTACCGGTATTTTGGCCTTTTTTGATCAACCGGTCAACTCTATATCATCTCTTTGGACCAATGAGTTATACACCACCATATAAATATTATATTGACCAAGATGAATAAAATGTACGGACTCGGGAATATCGGGCGGCCTCCGCTCCCGGTGTGGGCCCCACGTGCGAATTTACCATTCACGCAAAATAATTAATGAAAATTCACAACTTCGTATACTCGTTAACCACTCCATAAGTTCAATACATTATTCACTTAAAAGTAAGTACTTTTTGGGGACGGTGTTACAGTCCAACTGTCTACCCAAACAAGTAAACAGCATCCAAAAATAGTGAGAACAGCTAGCTAGAAACTTTAAAAAACTAGATGGAGGCATAGCTGAAAAACACAGTAGTATAATACATCAATACTAATTACTAAAAAATCGAAAATTTATTGTTAATTTCTTATAATTCAAATATCACAATTCACGGAATCACAAAACCATATTAATTAGCTTTAATCACTTGATGCTTGAGAGTTGTGGTATTGAAGCTTGAGGAGTTGCGATTTCAGATTTGAGGGATTGAGCAATTGAGGCCGCTGACCACTATAGCTATTAGCCTTCTTCTCCGATTCACCGGCCGCCTGGACTCGTTAAGTTCGCTACTCGTTTCTCGTTCTCGCTGAACTGGGGTTTCAACAATCGCAAATAGGCAAATAGATTTTTCCTTTTCTGCGGCAACTCTATCTAAAATTAAAATCTCAATAATGCGCTCAGATTGGCAGCACATAATATAACCCTGGGCGCCATATCAGGGACCTATATGTATATCCTGCGTTTTCCGTCGAAGGGGCGCGGCACCGCTGCACCGGCTCGCCCCTGGTTTGTCGCTGTTCTGGACTGAGCATGAAATTTCCTGCTGCAGGAGGTGGAAGAAGAGTTAGGGTTACGACTCTAGAAAGCGGGAAACGCTAAAATAGAAGGCGGCATATTTTCTGCGGAAAATATAAGAGCATGACAAAATTTTGGAGAAAAGCTAATGAGTAAAAAAACGAATGGGATGATTCTTAGAGGCAATAATGGGAGTATGTAATTATTAATTAGTTGGTAAAATATCAAGTGATTAAAAAACCACCTAAAGTTTAAAAGAAACAAAATTCATTAGTATTACTCTTTAAAATTAAATGTTTTAGACAAAAAATTACATGTAACTATTAGTGATTATAATTGTGTTAAAAAAATACAACTTAATAACTTACATGTAATTACTACTATTTCAATTCGAACACAATTATAGTTACTAATAGTTACTAAATAATGTTTAAATTAACTCCAAAATAGATTCTACCGAGTAATTAAGTCCAAAATAGGTTATGCTGAGTATTTTTAAATTAACTTAAAAAACTATTTTGTTCGCTCCATCTGCATATTTCTGATCTGAAATTTTTAATACGGAGTATTTAATCTGAATCTTTCTGATTTGATTTGAATCTTTTTAATCAGATTTGAATCTTTCTAGTTTGATCTCATATGATCTGGATCTTTCTGATGTCAATCTTTTTCATCCGATTTAATCTGATTCAAATATGATCTAAATCTTACTTATCTGATTTAATATTTATGACCTGATTGGCTTTTATTATTATTAATAGTATTATTACAATTATTATAATAATAATTATTATTGTCATTATTATTAGTAACTATGTATAATTAAACTTATAATTATAATTATAATTGTAACAATAGTCATAACTCTAATTATAACTATAATTATATAAATAATTATTATTGCCTTTATATGACATTCATGACAGCGACAGTGATGAAAATATCTCTCCTTATATGTAGTTATCAATAACCTACTTTTAGAGACAATAATAAAAGTGTGCCTCCAAATAACACATTTTAGAGATAATCATAAAATTGTGCCTCCAAATATCTTTTTTAGAGGCAACCATAAAAGTGCGCCTCCAAATACGACTTTTCAGAGGCAACCATTAGAGTGTGTCTCTAAATAGCACCTTTTAGAAGCAAACACAATAAGGTTGTCTCAAATCGTCTAAATTTAGAGGCAACCATGATCCGTTGATGCAAAAGTAGGTTTTTAGAGGCAATAATAAGTAAGTTGCCCCAACGAGTTGCCTCCATAAATGAATTTTGTTGTAGTGCTTCCTCCCCACAACTCACAACCACACATGTTTCAGCTACTCATACATCCTTGTCAAGTAATGAGCCACAGAATCAGTGTAAGAAGACACCTTTAGACACTTTGGCTGAGTACCGAGAGCAATTAAGGGAGAGCTCTTTAGCCATGGAGCAGAGCTCTTTAGCCATGGATCAGTGCTATTCAAACATCATGAAGCATTTAAATACCATAAGGAGCCATCTGGTAGAAGACCAATCCGAGGAAACCAATATGTATGATCACGTGAGCGAGTCAGACTATGATGGTGGGAATATGATGGATGATACACTTCCTAATGCCTTTGAAGACCCACCTATGGTTGAAGATGATGAAGAAGATAGTAGTGTCAAGTTGTTTTTCAAGAATACAGGAAAAAGTTTGAAACGGTACAAGCTGTAACTGATGAAGTCACAAATCACTGTGATTTTCATACAGAAACCCCCAAGCCATTTGATTTTCTATTAGTCTTAACACCTGAGGAGGGCAAGGAGCAGATTAGTCATGACGTTGATGCAGCCGCTGAAGTAAGATTGAGTATTGAAGATGAGTTGAGAGATGATAATCACGAGCTCCAAGAGAATGGTAGTAAGGTAGATGATCTCCATAACGAAAAAGTGTCGCTCCACAATTTCTCGGAGGATATTAATGAGAAGAGTGAGAAAACGAATTGGGATGCATTCTTGGAGAGTGATAGCGAGTCAAGAGGAGGTGCTCAGAATTTTCATGGTACATTCGAGCGAGGAAAGGAGGCGTTTGTGATACATTTTGAACATGAGGATGAGAGGTTCATACTTCACTTCTGTGCTGATGAGGGTTATGAAGACCATGCGCTTCCTACGTGTTTTCAAGAATTTAAGAATTTGCGCCATCTAATGGCATTTGTTGAGAGGAAGCTGGAGATGATGACTATTAGTGCACCACTGATGTATGTGCTATTTGAGATCCTATGACGTAGTGTCGGGCAAACGACGTTAAAATAGCGCTTCTTGGGAGGCAACCCAAGCTTATTTCTGCATTTTGTTTGTTTGTTTGTTTGCTTTCAGAAACCCCCCCCCAAAAAAACCAAAAAAAAAAAAAATCCAGGGTGTTTTTTGGATTTGTTTTTGTGTTTGTGTGTTTTGTTTTTGCAGCTCAGGGTCTTGCTTTGGGGATGATGTGCCGAGGATCACTTGAGTCAGTTTAGTTCTGCACCGACCAATGCCTTAGGGAAGTTTCTTTGACTCTTTTACTCGCTTGTTGAAATATTGACTTGAGTTAAGTTGAGCATGCGTGACCCTATCCTCTTTACCCCCTTGTGCATAGTGCATTTTTGGTCATCGAGGACGATGCCAAAGTTTAAGTGTGGGGGAGTGAATTGGGCATTCGGGCAGTAGTTGCTACATGTGATTTTTAGAGTTAGCATGCGCAAGTGTTAGTTGATATTCATAGGAAATTCATGTCAATTTTTGAAAATTTTTCTTTAAACTGTGTCTTTGTGAGCTAGCTAGTGTTTGACTATGCTTTTAAAACATCTTTGAAGTGTTTAGGCTTAAATTGCTTGCACTATAATCTGGTTGTTGAAAGGATGGTGGCATTAGTCACTCATGTAATGAATCAACAATTTTCCCATTGACCTGAATAAGTTCCTTTAGGAGAAGCCACTTTGAGCCTGATCGTTTATTAATAGCTGATTAATTGAGCTCCATAGCAAAATGGCCTGTGTTCCTTACCCGTGAATATTTCTGACTTAGTCTTGATGTTTAGGGAACTAGGGGATTAATTTGCTAAGTTTAGGGAATTTGTGTAGGAGCCATTTTTGGCATTGTTCCTATGCCCCAAATGGGGTAAGAGCAGTCACTTTTTAGGAATATGATACTTTCGAGGATTGCATTGTAGGCATGGATTCACTTTTAAATAAATGAACCTTAATTGCTATTTTTCCTTGGTGAGGCCGAGATTAGAATGGGGTAATGTCTAGTGAGAATCCGAAAAGTGAAAAATTAATATAGCTAGACCTCTTACTTTGCGAAAAAGGGAATGAGAGCCCCGGTCAAAAAGCGTAAGATGAGACTTGGGTATCTTTCGAAAGAAACGGCGTTCTTGATATGCACTAATTAGTAGTGCATAAATGTGTCTTTTTATGTTTGATTTGTGTGGATTGTTTACCATTTTATTTAGTTTATAAACATTTGTGTGATTTTAGTTGTAATTGTATTTTAGTTCTCATTTGTAAGTTGTAAAGTAGAGTTAGGATTTATGGTGTTGGAAAGGAAGACTTTGAATGTGAAGAAAAATAATTCTTGGCTGCCCAGGATAATCACCCGGTCGGGTGAGGTATTGCACCCGGTCGGGTGAGAAATTTAAATGCGAAACTGCTCAGGAAATTACATCACCCGGTCGGGTGAGGTATTTCACCCGGTCGGGTCCGACTTGACCCGGAACACCAGAACGTGCCGAAGATCGCCAGAACGTGGAAGATATTTGATTTTGACATGCACCCGGTCGGGTGGGCACTTTACCCGGTCGGGTACCCGGCCAAAGGTGTTGAAAAACACCTATAAATAGCCTCATTTTCCTTCACAAATCACCAATTCCTTTATACTCTTAAGCTCAGTTTAGAATAGCATTTCTTTATATTTCTTTTAGCATGTTTAGTCTCCAAATGAGGAGCTAAACTTCCAATTCTTGGTATTGCTCTTGAAGCTTGTTGATTATTAAAGTTGTGAGTTATTTTCTTAACTTCTTTTCCTTGAATATTAATTCTTCCTTTAAATACTATTTCTATATCAATGTTGGGGAGTGTTGCTAAGATGACAATTAGTTAACATCTTGACATTGGTTTTAGTAATAGCTATTCCTTCCTCTATGTTAATATCGGGGAGTGTTACTAAGATGACAATTAGTTAACATCTTGATATTTAACTATAGTAGGATTCATTCCCTTTTAATATTCTTCCTTGAGTATTAATTAATTCCTATTCATATTTCATATTAATATTTTGAACATTACTTAAAGGATCAACTAGTTTTGTTTCAAATATTAATTACTACTAGAAATGATCAACGAACCGATGGTTAATCGTTGATAGTTTCACAAGTAAGTAACTTCGGTTTATTAATGCACGGTCGTGGTTAATAGACTTAAGAGGGATTAATTTTGTTGGTTAAACCGAAACCGTTGTGTTAAGGTTATCAATCTCAATTGATTTCATCAAGGAGTTAAAAGATTAAATGCTACTATCAAGTCGATATATGGCGTTGTTCTATACTTGACTAATAGTAAGGGTTATTAATGAACGGTCGTTGTTAATAACTATCCTCGATGAATTGGATATACTCCTCGATTGAGTATTCGAGAGGAGATAAGTTATAGATATAACAATGATCGACTAAAATATATCAACAAGTGGAAAGTAGCAATACCAAGTCAATTTTATCTTTGAATTAAATCCCATATAAATCGTTCATCTTCGTGTTTAAATTTAATTAAATCACTCAACAATCAAAACCCCCCTTTACTTACCATTTATATAAAAAGAAAGTTATTCCTTTCCCTGTGGATACGAACTCTACTTCACTATACTATGTATTAGTGTCGTATTGATTATTATTTTGAGTGCACATCACGACAAAGTGCACGTCAGTTCTCGTGCCAACATGACAAGGAAAACTAAACATAATTAATGAACTTGGAGGCTATTATAAAAATTTAGCTTTAGTCCTCCGCGTACTTCAAGTATACGTCAAAGCAAAAATGTGCCGAGACGGTTTAGCTTAGTTGTACACCATGTCTACTCTTTGCATATGTTTAGATGATTGTTCCTAAATTGTGGCTTACTGAGTTCCTTGTTCCTAAGAATAGCCCTGAAGTTCCTGAATACATTGAGTCTTTGTTAGAATATTCCAATCTCTCAAAAGAAAGGGACTATTTTTATCCATGAACCATTCACCAGCACCTTCACAAGTCCTTCTGATCGGTAGCTAGTTTATTTGTGTGTGCTGTCACTACTTTGAGGATGTTGTGAATAATTTTGTCAAATATGTTAGCTAGAGTACAAAGATGTAGTTTAGGGAAGAATTTTCTTGGTTTAGATTTTATTTCCCGTGAATATCCCTTTAACTACGCGTGCATGTTAATTGTTTTGATTCCGTGTGGTAATTATCGTAAGTCCCGTTGTTCAGTTTGCTTGAGGACAAGCAAAGGCTTAAGTGTGGGGGAATGTGATAAGTCCGTATTTGGACATGCATTTGATGCGTGTTGGGGTCGGATTTTGATGGTTTTCCTAGCTTTAAGGTGTTACAAGTATCAATTTTAGCTCAAGTTATGTTTAACAGACGTTGGTTCGAGTTTTGTGTTGTTTGTAGTCAAAATCAGGATTTTAGAGTTTGGTACCGGCACTTGAGGAACAATCGGGATGATTTGATAAGCATTTGAGAATGATTTGATAGCTTTGGAGGTCACCGGAAGATTCACGATGAAGATTTGCAGGAAAAAGAGCTCTAGGATTGGCTACGGGGTCAAAAGAAGATGAATGAAGCTTGAAAACGACGATCAGAATGACCTTCTGTCAATCGTTCAAGAATATCTCTTTTTCGAAACATCCAATGTACACGATTCAAGTTCCATAGGAAAACCAATTTCAAGGGCTACAAATCATATGAAGACACCTTTGCGAGAATCTGAGAGGAAGAATGTGAAAACAGACGATGAAGTCAGATGATCTCTGCTGCGATTTCAGAAAGACACCTTCCACCGTTTTGATCATATCTCTTGATTGGATGATTCAAATCACATTCGGCAAATTGGGGTGAATAGAGGACTTCATTATCTACAACTTTCATGAAGGAAGTTTTGTCAAATTCGGAAGTTAAGTAGGCACGATCGTGCCCTCAAAGTCAGACACGATCGTGCCTGAAGAGAAAAGCACCGCGGAGTTACTGCCAGCCAGGCACGATCGTGCCTGGAGGGAGGCACGATCGTGCCTTCCCAAAATGCGCGTTTTTGCTCCGGAGGCACGATCGAAGGCACGATCGTGCCTGACATCGTGCCTGGCTCCGAAAATCCTAATTCAGCTCAAATTTCACCCGATTTTTCTATTTAAACAGCCTGTAAACCCCCGTTTTCAAGGCACGATCGTGCCTGACATCGTGCCTAGAACGCATTTTAGAGGGCTTTTCATCCTTGTTCATCAATCTTTTGGGATTCTTTGTAAGTTCCACCTTTTTAATTAATGACAATTAATTCTTTTTATTCCAATTCTATTGATTCTTCAATTATGAATTGTGAGTAGTTTTAATTAGGGATTTGGGATTGATGAAGGGGTTAATCATGATGTATGACTAGATTCTTTTCGGTTTAATTGCATGAATGCAGTTTAATTTATGTTTGAATAATTTAATTGATATCTTTTGTAACCTAAAATCGCGACTAGAATTACAATTGCATGTAGAATAAATTAAGAGAGATCTAATTTGTTCTAGGACACATTCACACACACTTAATCGTTGGCTAAGAGATTAGTAGCGATTAAGGGGCCGTAAGCTCGCTCGTCTTGGCAATAATTTAGGATCCTGTCGCATGAGAGATCAGTCTGGTCTCTAAATTATTGTACTCTACGCCGCGAGAGCGGTAAGAACTTAGTAATGATTAGCTAGACTCAACTAAATTAATTTCATGTAATTAGCTTAGGCCTGATCTGCCAGAAATCTGGTTATCCCGGAATCGATTCATGTCCCTTCGTCATTAATTAGAAAGAACCCCCTAGTTTAATTGTTCGCATTAGTTTTATTTTCCAAACCAATCATATCTCGCACGACGCATTTTATTTATTTATTTTTAATCGCTGAATTTAATTAATTCTTGATTCCCTTTTGTCCGTCCCTGTGGAGACGATACTCGTACTTACACCACTATATTACGATCTATTTTAAGTGCGAGAAAACTCACATCAATCTGCAACATCTCCTTCGTCGTTTTTGCTTTGACGGTATGTAGGGCGATGTTTCTGGACAGCGATAATCGAACCACGCTCATCGCTTTTCTATCCAGCAACTTCAACTCGCTTTCCTTCATGTCTTCCGGCTTATCATTCAGAGCTTGATACAGATCTCCACCGTACAGGTAATCTTCGATCTTAGAGCATTATTTTAGTTTTTTTTCATGAAAATAGATTTCAATTAATTTTTTATGCTATTTAATTAAAAAAAATACGGAGTCCGTCCCAATTTGTAAGATACATTTCGGTTTACGATGTTTGACTGACGATAAAGCAAATTGATCCCTGTCAACACCCAAATTAGTTCTAGAAAATAAAATTTACATATTCAAAAACTACATTAAATTCGCTACAAAACCTGCAAAAAATAATTCAAACTTCATAAACTTTTGATATATAAAATAAAAATTTAAGAATGATTTATGTTGATCAAGTGAATAGTGAATGTATCTTACAATTTGGGACTGAGGGAGTACATTTTACACTCCGTAAATTATTGTAACATGATGGCGTGGGAGGGAAGGTAGACACGGTAATAAAAAGTGAATAAAAGTAAACGCAGAACACGTTAGTTGTTCCTATAGAGGTGCAAATCCTCAACACCTAGCTAGCTGGCTACTATAACTGCGTTCCGATGATCCATGTATATATTCCATCAGATCAGATCTCATGAATAACGTTTATTCATTAATTAACATCTATCGTCACAGTTTATTAAAAATAGGATAGCAGATCGACGACCACTCCGGTCACTGCTCAGATCATCACCGGCCAACCTAACGCGCACATATATATATATCGAAAAGAAATATACATATAAAATGGTTTTGTCAAAGGCAACCGCCCGACCAGACGCCTCCGTCCACTCCTCCACCTTCGCCTCCAGATATGTCCGCACTTCGCTTCCCCGGTAGGTAGCGATAGATCGACGATCAATATACATATATCTATCCGTATAATATATATATATATATAAATGGATGTTTGATGCAGGTTTGAGATGGCAGGGGAATCGATCCCGAAGGAAGCGGCGTATCAGATCATCAACGACGAGCTGATGCTGGACGGGAACCCGAGGCTGAACCTGGCGTCCTTCGTGACGACGTGGATGGAGCCGGAGTGTGACAAGCTCATCATGGCCTCCATCAACAAGAACTACGTCGACATGGACGAATACCCCGTCACCACTGAGCTCCAGAACCGATGCGTCAACATCATCGCCCATCTCTTCCACGCGCCGCTCGGTGACGGAGAGGCCGCCGTCGGTGTCGGCACCGTCGGCTCCTCCGAGGCCATCATGCTCGCCGGCTTGGCCTTCAAGCGCAAGTGGCAGAACAAGATGAAAGCCCAGGGCAAGCCCACCGACAAACCTAACATTGTTACCGGTGCCAACGTTCAGGTACGTACCTACTCTTCCATTCCATCTTTCCTTTTTTTTGTGCTCACCTAGCTAGCTCCTAGTATAATTACTCCCTCCGTCCCAGAATTAACTTCGGTTTTGACTGGGCACGGAGATTAAGAAAGTGAGAAATGTGTGGTGGAGAGTTGTGCAGAGGAGAGAGAAATGTGTAAGAATGATTGTGAACCACAAATCATTTGCTAAAAAGGGAAAGAGGAGATAAATTTGGGACGGACCAAAAAGGAAAGAATGAAGATAATTATAGGAAGGAGGGAGTATATTCCTACGGCATATCATTTTCATACTTTAATAACTAAAACGGAGTATGTAGCCAAAGTAAATAAATAAACTATCCCTATTAGTTAGAACAATGAAATTCTATTCTAGTTTGATTATATTTTATTTATTAATGTGTGAATTATTTTTTTAACAAAATATTGTTAAATTCGTTTAATTACAAAGTTTCATAATGTGAATTTTTTGATTTTTTAAGTAATAGACAATTAAGTATAATAACTGTTAAAGTTATGAGTTGACAAATATAAAAGGAGAATGTTGGAACTAAAAGAGGATGGAAAAAGTAAGTAGTATGTATATGGTGTAAAATTTTCTATATTACAACTAAAAAAGAAATGGAAAATTTATATACTACGTATATTCTCATTAATCATTACGACTATATGTTTGGGAGAATTTCTTATGCATTTACTTGCTTCTTAAACAGTAGTATATCAATTGTTCGCCAATCATCCTGCAATTGTCATCGTCATCCAAATCTACCGAATCTCACTACTTTTAGCAAGTGGCCGGCACTTTGACTCACAACCATATCTCTTCGTCTGATCTGAATGTTTTTTATCTGAATTTATTAAGTTCTGATCTGATCTGAATCTTTCTGATTTGATCTGATCTGAATTTTTCTGATCTGATCTGATCTGAATCCTTCTAATCTGATCTGAATATTTCTTTAATTATAATTATAATTATTATAATTATAATTGTATTTATAAATATAATTTAAATATAACTTATAATTATAGTTATAATTCTAAAAATATTTAATTATAATTATAATTATAATTATAATTAAAGTTATAAAAAATTATACCTACTACACTGATTATAATTATAGCTATAATTATAATCGTAATTGTAATTATATTTTTAATTATAATTATTTCTATAATTATAATTGTAATTATAATTATAATTACTCTATATAATAATAAAAATAAATAATAATAATAATAATAATAATAATAATAATAATAATAATAATAATAATAATAATAATAATAATAATAATAATTATAATAATATGGAGTAATAATAATAATAAGAATAATAATAATAATAATAATAATAATAAACACATTAATAATAATAATAATAATAATCACCTGAATAATAATAATAATAATAATAATAATAATAATAATAATAATAATAATAATAATAATAATAATAATAATAATTTTATAATAATAAAAGTGATAAACCATGTTTGAAATTTTCTGATCTGATCTGAATCTTTCTGATCTGGTCTGAATGATTCTGATCTGATCTGAATCTTTCTTATCTGATCTGAATTTTTCTGATCTGATCTGATTAAAATAAGAATAAGCAATAAGTAATAAGAATAAGACGAACAGAGCAACACCTAATTATGTCCTTTTTTTAGTAATTGATCTAATGGAAACTTAATTACACTAATAGAACTAAAACTTAAATCATTCATAAATAGGACTAATCATTAATATCTATTCTTATACTTCTAATCTAATTAATTAATTGCCCCATAGTTTTCTTGGGCAACTGGGGCAGTCCATTGATAGCGACTAGCGAGGCAGTTCAATGATGGCAGAGGTAGTCCGGTGGTGGCGGCAATAGGAAGTCTTGGGCAAAAAAAATCTGATTTTTTTGCCTAGCTGGAGCTCCGGCAGCCAGTGGAAGCCGGAGTCTGGCAGTGGCAGGGGCAAGTGTATATTTGGTGGTAGGCGCAATACATTTCAAATGATTTTCTGAAATGTACTGCGCTGTTTAACTGCGTAGTTATCTTCAAAAATTCATTTGACTATCTCCCCGGTTGAATTTTTAGCTAAAATTTAGTGAGTAAACTAGACTTAATGAAGAAGATGCTCAAAAAATGTCATCACAAAATGCCACCGGAAACCTCCCTAAATGGTGACTGTCGGACAGAGCCTCCTATACAAAAGTTAGTTCAAGGGCCTTTTAAGTTAGTTCAAGGCCCTATTTGACCCTTTAGCATTTTTTTTACCAGAGTTTGTTTCTCTTCAATTCTAAGCAAATTTTGACTATGGTTTCACTTTCAATTTCTTAAAAACCGAGAAAGTGAAATTAAAAGTAATGGTGAATTAATGACAAAAGCAATGATGTTTTAATATTTTATGTAAACAAAATCACTTTTATTGACTCCTTGTGTTTGAGAATTTCTATAATTTGATCTAGTCACTTTGCATTTTTTTTGAAGTCACATAAAAGTTAAATAAGATGGTTACAGTTAAGCAATACATATACTCCCTCCGTCCCATATTTATCTTCATAGTTCGGTTTATGATGTTTGACTGACGATAAAACAACTCGATCCCTGTTCACACTCAGATTTTTTTTTAGTAAATTTTTTTTTACATATTCAGAAACTACATTAAAACCGCTACAAAGTCTATCAAGAAAATTTAAGTTTGATAAAAAATTGATATATAAAGGAGTAAAAGATCAAGAGTAATTTGAGTTGACCATGTGAATAGTAACTATGAAGATAATTTTGGAGTGGCTGGAGTATAACTCTTAATGTTAGCGTATATGTAATATGTCAATTTACTACAGAGGCACTTTTCTAAACGGAAAAGATCAAAGAAAGTTATCTACATTCACTTTGGTCAAGCTGAGGAGTATGATCGAGTATATCCGTATATATAGCTGTAAAGATAGAAAATGTACAGACAATAATAATATACGATAGTACATGCAGTCACCGGCCAAGTCACTTATCAAAATACGACTTATTTTATTATATTAAAAGGATAAAACTTTCACATTTAGGGGTGAATGAATCATATTTTAGAAACTAAACAATTGTAGTCTTATTTATAAATATATATGCGGGACAATAATTAATGTCTGCTCCTATATATGTGTGTTGGTTTTTCCCTATGGTTAAGTGCTGAGGATGTTTTAATTATATTTCAATGGATGCAAATGAAAACATGTTTAGTTAATTAGCTAGGATGGAGCTAATTATGGACATGCATGATGAATTGAAGGTGTGTTGGGAGAAATTTGCACGGTATTTTGAAGTGGAGTTGAAAGAGGTGAAGTTGAGAGACGGGTACTATGTGATGGAGCCGGAGAAAGCGGTGGAAATGGTGGACGAGAACACGATATGCGTGGCGGCGATCCTGGGGTCAACGCTGAACGGAGAGTTCGAGGACGTGAAGCTGCTGAACGACCTGCTGGTGGAGAAGAACAAAGAGACGGGGTGGGAGACCCCAATCCACGTGGATGCAGCCAGCGGCGGCTTCATCGCGCCCTTCATCTATCCGGAGCTGGAATGGGACTTCCGGCTGCCGCTGGTGAAGAGCATCAACGTGAGCGGCCACAAATATGGCCTGGTCTACGCTGGCATCGGTTGGGTGATCTGGAGGAGCAAGGACGACTTGCCCGACGAACTCATCTTCCACATCAATTATCTCGGTGCTGATCAGCCTACTTTCACTCTCAACTTCTCCAAGGGTATATATATACTAGTATATACTACCTCCCTACCTACCACACTTTCATTCATTCAATTCACTCACTCACTAATATGAAGAATTCGTTTTCTACACGCTCTTATACACACTAGTACACCTCCGTCTCTGTGAGATTTTTTTTTGTCTGTGAATACCAGTTCACAGACAAAACCGGCTTGTTTTGTCTGTGGACTGGCATTCACAGACAAAAAAAAAACTCTCCCAGACACGGAGGTGTACTAGTGTGTATAAGAACATGTACACCAAGAATTTCCCCACTAATATTGATATCATATACTCACTCCGTCCTTATACAAAAGGCTCCGTTTGAATGACACGCATCTTTAAGCGAAATACTGTTTGACACTGTTTTGTTTGTCAAAAGGGGAAATGAGACTTTTATTTAGGGACGGCACGAAAAGAAAACATATACTTTTATTTAGGGACGGATGGGGTATTACGTATTACAGTTAATTAAGTACTACGTCATATAAAATTGATTGATTGCAAATTAATTCAAATTCTTCGATCATGCAGGTTCTAGCCAAGTAATTGCTCAATACTACCAACTAATTCGATTGGGTTTTGAGGTATATATGTGCATTCATGATACTAAGCTTTGATCAATCATTTTAATTAACCACTACCTAATATAGAATGAACAAGGACATGCTCTATAGTGACGCATACATGCCCCTTTTGCTAGCTAACATGAATTTGATGAGTCATGTGTGGCTACATGTGTCCATTGCTTAAGCTAATTATTATAATACATACCATCGTATCTACTACTCTGATCTTCTGGCCCAAATTAATTTGCAAAATCCATTTTGGTTGGTGAAAGAGATTCATTTTATTCACTCAATACAACACATGAGAATAAATGCAGGGTTACAAGAATATAATGGAGAATTGCCAAGAGAATGCAACAGTGTTGCGAGACGGACTGGAGAAAACGGGGAAGTTCAACATTGTATCCAAAGAGACAGGGGTGCCGCTGGTGGCCTTCTCTTTGAAAGACAGCAGCCGCTACACGGAGTTTGAGATCTCCGACATGCTGCGCCGCTACGGCTGGATTGTTCCGGCCTACACCATGCCTCCCGACGCGGAGCACGTCACCGTGCTTCGCGTCGTGGTCCGTGAAGACTTCTCACACACCTTGGCCGAACGCCTCGTCAATGACATCCAGAAAGTCATCCACGAACTCGACACCCTTCCGGCTCGGGTTGGTGCCAAAATCGCCGCCGCCGCCAATGATGACGACTCTCCGGCCCTTGACGTTCAGAAGAAAACTGAGCGTGAAGTTACTCTTGAGATCACCGCGGCTTGGAAAAAGCTCGTCGCTGATCGCAAGACCATCAAGACTAACGGAGTTTGTTAGTACTCCATATATCTTTCTACCTACACATCTACATACTATACGTACGTTAATTTAATTTAATACGGACTATATATTGGACCATATATATACACACACGTACTAATAATACACCATCCATTATGTATGTACTCAATATTACTTTCAGGCTCTTATATTATCTCTTTCTTTTCACTAATTAATAACTTTATTAACTTTGCCAAAAAAAAACTTCATTAACTCAAGTGCTTTAGTGTATGTGGTAATGTGGAAGATAATACTCCGATCCGTATATATTAAACCCATTATTACGTTTTTCTATAATTGTTATATACAAGTAGACTAGCTAGATAGTTCGATGAAATATATGGTTTATGGTGTTTAAAGAACACAAATTAGACAACCTAAATGTTAAGAAAAATGCTTGAGGTACACAAAATGTGTACACATGTCTGTCATTCACAAAAATTTTGTCTGTCATAGACAATTCATTTTGAGTTGTTTGTGACAGACAAATTTTTTGTGAAGGACAGACATGTGTACACATTTTGTGTACCTCTAGCAAAACTCAAATGTTAATTTGATAAGAGACAAACTATCTCTAATTTTCTCAGCCCAACTAAGTGTCTAACAGCCTGCCTAACTCCTTCCCAGACTAGTTATTTATACCCTCTTAGCTAATAACCGACAATTAGCTAATAACAAAAAGTGCCAGCTCACAGCTCAATAACTATCAACTACTATTATTTCCTCTTCTAGAATAAACTCTCCCAAAGTACTTATCATCTTTGTTATTTACAGACACATCCCTAACAATACCCCCACCCCACCCTTACCCCAAAAATCCACCTTGTCCGGTTGTCCCCAAGGTGGCAAGGTGGAATTCCGAAAACTGTTCTTGGATCAATTACACAGTTTCTCACGAGTCTTCAAAGTCAGGGTGATCCTTCCAATGCATCAGCACTTCCCTTTTCCTTCATTATTGATTCTAGTCTCCACTTTTTCTGGCAGCACATTTAGTTCCCACACCTCATTTAGGCATTTAGGGATATCTTGGTACGTAAGAAGTTGTAGGAGTTAACACCTTCTTGAGTAAGGATATGTGAAATACAGGATGTATTTTATTATCCTTAGGCAATTTGAGCTTATAGGCCACAAGATTGATCTTTTCTTTGATCTCATATGGACCATAGAATCTGGGACTCATCTTTTGACTCAATCTTCTTGCTAGGATTTTCATTTTGTAGGGTTGTATCTTTAGAAAGACTTTATCTCCCACCTACAATGTTAATTACTTCCCTCATGTGTTTGTTTGCTTGTTGTTTCATCTGGTTCTGGTTTAGTTGTAACTAGATTCTCCTTCAACTCCCTTAACTTTTCATTTATTTCTGCTATTGTAGCCTTGAAACTTCTACTACTGCAGTCAAACTGACATCCCCTTTTTAGGGAAATGTGGTAGTTTGTATTATACCAGAAATTTTAGGAAAATGTGGTAGTTTGTATTGTACCAGAACTCAGCCCATGGTAAACACTTAACCCACTGTTTAGGTTTTCTTCCAGTAAGACATCTCAGGTAGATTTCTAAGCATTTGTTGACAACTTCAGTCTGTCTCATCACTCTGAGAGTGATATGCAGTGTTGTACTTCAGTTGTGTTCTTGCTAGTTTGAATAGCTGAGACCAAAAAGAGCTTAGAAATAAGCTATCCTTGTCACTTACAATAGATTTTGGAAACCCATGTAGCTGGACTACCTCTTGAATGAATAGTTTAGCTACTCCTTTAGCATTAAAAGGGTGAGATAGGGACAAAAATGTGAAAAATAAGTCAATATGTCCACAACCACTAGAACAATATCCTTACCTTGCGATTTAAGTAGCCCACCTATGAAGTTCATGCTAATGTCAGTCTAAATTTGAGTAGGAATGCACAAGGGTTGTAATAGGCCTGCAGGGTTAAGAGCTCGATACTTATTTCCTTGGCTGATATCACAACCTTGAACATGGTTCTTGATGTCTGATTGATACACTTGTAATTTCCGTGTGTATGTTTGTGTTTTTAGCTAGTTTTGGTTGTTTAATATTTCGGAAATTACACACTTTTGGTGTAATAGTTTAGTTTGTTAAATCCTTGTAAATTGTTTAGATTAGGATTATTCTGAGCTCAAACAGGTCTATTATCACTCAAAGGATGGTTGGTGAACCCCAAAAGTGGAAAGAAGGTGCAAATCACAAGACAAAAAGGGAAAATCCTGATTTTTGCCTATACTCGGTCGAGTATTACCTATACTCGATCGGGTATAAGGTTGAAACGTCAAATCAGATCAGATCCGAAGACAAAGGAACATGCCGGGAAGATTTTGACCACGATTCAGTGTCTATACTCGATCGGGTAGACCGACATACCCGATCGGGTAGACCGACATACCCGATCGAGTATGCCTTTGAGTTTAAACCCGAAATCGGTCGAGTATGGCTCGAATATCACTTTCTACACATACTCGACCGAGTATGAACATATACTCGATCGAGTATGCCTTTGATTTTTAAGCCAAAATCGATCGAGTATACCTCGAATCTGGTATTTCTACACATACTCGATCGAGTATCTGTATATACTCGATCGAGTACCCGAGCTGCACTCCCAAAAAGCCTATAAATACACCCCCTTTCCTTCACAAAAGATCACCAATTCCTTTATACTCTTAAGCTCAGTTTAGAATAGTATTTCTTTTATATTTTTATAGCATGTTTAGTCTCCAAATGAGGAGCTAAACTTCCATTTCTTGGTGTTGCTCTTGAAGCTTGTTGATTATTAAAGTTGTGAATTATTTTCTTAACTTCTTTCCTTGAATATTAATGCTTCTCTTAAATACTATTTCTATATCAATGTTGGGGAGTGTTGCTAAGATGACAATTAGTTAACATCTTGACATTGGTCTTAGTAATAGCTATTCCTTCCTCTATGTTAATATTGGGGAGTGTTACTAAGATGACAATTAGTTAACATCTTGATATTAACTATAGTAGGATTCATTTTCCTTAATATTCTTCCTTGAGTATTAATTAATTCCTATTCATATTTCATATTAATATTTTTGAACATTACTTAAAGGATCGACTAGTTTTGTTTCAAATATTAATTATTACTAGAAACGATCAACGAACCGATGGTTAATCGTTGATGGTTTCACAAGTAAGTAACTTCGGTTTATTAATGCACGGTCGTGGTTAGTAAACTTAAGAGGGATTAATTTTGTTGGTTAAACCGAAACCGTTGTGTTGAGGTTATCAATCTCAATTGATTTCATCAAGGAGTTAAGAGATTAAATGCTACTATCAAGTAAGTATATGGCGTTGTTCTATACTTGACTAATAGTAAGGGTTATTAATGAACGGTCGTTGTTAATAACTTTCCTCGATGAATTGGATATACTCCTCGATTGAGTATTCGAGAGGAGATAAGTTATAGATATAACAATGATCGACTGAAATATATCAACAAGTGGAAAGTAGCAATGTCAAGTCCTTTTTATCTTTGAATTAAATCACATATAACTCGTTCATCTTCGTGTTTAATTTAATTAAATCATTCAACCCAAAACCCCCCTTTATTTACTCCTTTCGTTAAAAAGATAAATTATTCCTTTCCCTGTGGATACGAACTCTACTTCACCTATACTACGTATAAGTGTTAGTATTGAATTTATTTTGAGTGCACTCACGACAAAGTGCACGTCACTGATCTCATTCCAAATTAGTAGAATAGGTTTGAGATCCTTTTCATGGTCCTGAATTAACCAGAATGCCCTCCAACAGCCGAGTCATGGTATTCCTTGAGAATGATATCTATTTTCTTAGAACCGTTAGGTAACACCAATCTGCCCTTGAAATATGGTAAGTTATTCTTAACTTTATAATCACAAAATTTATGGTGAGAACCTTTTGAATTATCTCACCAGTTATGGGATTCTTTTCCAAGTCCTCCTCTAGCCCTTCCCATTCCTGACAGGTTACTATTGACAGTGAATGAAATGTAGGCTTCCTTGAAAGAGCATTTGCAGCCTTATTCTCAATTCCTGATTTGTATTTGATAGTAAAGTTGTATCCGAGTATCTTTGGTATCCATTTTTGCTGATCTTTACCCATAATCTTCTGTTCAGTGAGGTAATTCGGACTTCTATAATCAGTATGGACCTCAAACTTCCACCCCAATACGTAAGGCCTCCATTTTTGGATGGCTAGAACAATAACCATAAGCTCTTTTTTTGCAATAGTCATATAGTTCATTCCAATTGGTTTTCAAATCCAAATATAATTAAATCTCAATATCAAAATATCACTTTTATCCATTCATGAATTCTTTACATGAATTATAAAAGTATATTTCATCACAAGGTTTCATAGTTATTTCAACTATCATGTCATCATATTTATATCACATAATCATACACAATTTCTTCTAAGTTTGTATATCATGATTCATTTACTTATAGACAATAGTATTTTCATTTAGGCATTATTAAACATTAATAGTCCATGAAAATCACATTTAATTACCTTAGGTAATCTTATGAAATTAACTCACTAATTATAAGCAATATATTTAACCACTCTCATCTTTTGATGTGCTACAAGCCTACAATAGTTGCCTTTGCTAAGCCCCTCAAACAATCCCTGTTCTAGGCCGATTGAAAGGAAAAATCTGGACAACAGCCAAAAGTTGGGCGGCTTTCACAGAAGCCAAGCGGCGTGTAGTGCTGTTATGGAAATCGAGCTCAGCTCGAGCTCGGCTCGACTCGGCTCGATTAAACTCGGGCTCGGCTCGTATATTAGAGAAAACGAGTCGAGTTCGAACTCTTTTGTTTACTCGATAAAGTTCACGAGCCGAGCTGGCTCGACTCGATAAAACCCGGTGAAGCTCGATAGGGCTCGTGAGGTGGGCATATTGTCATGGGTTTTTCGAGTATGATGATATTATAGTTAATACATGGGTTTTTCGAGTTCGAGTTGTCGAGCTCGAGCTCGAGTAGCTTGACTCGGGTATATTAACGAGTCGAGCTCGAGTTGTAAATTACTTTAACGAGCCGAGTTCGAGCTCAAATACAGAATCGAAATTTAACGAGCCGAGCTCGAGCCAGGCTCGAAATTTGAGCGAGTCGAGCTCGAATGTGTGATACTCGGGCTCGGCTCGGCTCGAATAACAGCACTAGGCGTGTGCAGACAACGTAGCTTGTCTTATGCTC